CCCTAGGGTTTCAGAATATTCTGCATTTAGCTGGCTGATGGGGGAATAGAAGACTCATGATATATACACAAGTGGTCCCATATAGGTGCAAGGCACCTGGACATGTAATCCCTGGGAAGATAGCTACTTCTCAATGATGTCACTGTACTGTGGGCAGGAGAGCACAAATTTATGGTAGAAAATTAATCCTCTCTGCTTCATGCATTCAGGGTCATTCTCACATAGGGAATTAAATCATAGTCTTGCTTGTCTCAAAGTATCACTTCATCATTCTGTCTTGAAACTCCATAAAAGTTTATTTTGTGTTGATTTTTTTAATTGGGGCTGGTAGGAACGATAAATACAAAAACATTTTATAAGCAAATAGTCAATAGGTAAAAATATTTCTATAAATCCGTTTATATTGCAGTCTGCTGATCCATACTTTTTTTATAACATCCAGAATCTCCATATTTATAAAGAAATTTTGCTAATATCTATAGTATAAATAGTAGTATTCAGTTAATATTTTCAGTTTTTAATAAAATGCACTCACATTCACTTCATTGTTCCTCCCTTGTGACCATCTTTAGGAAATACAGGTAAGAGAATACAGCCTATATCCAATAAATAACAACTCTCTATTTCTACCTTCTTCCAAGATCTTGGTGACCACAATTCTAGTTTCTGTTTCTGTGTATTTAACTACTCTAGAAACCTCATATTGGTACCAGAAAGGGGACCTGGCCCTGGGTGGTTCTGCCTAGGGCTGGCAGGTATGTGTGGGTTCTTGACCAAGCGTGATATAAAATAAGAATTCTATTTTTTGTTGTTTTTTAAATTCTCCACTTTATTGTCATCCGTGCAACTATTTTATCCTGCTTATATGTTAATCATTCTTCTTTGACCTCTGAATAAGTCTTGGTCAAAAGAGAAGGAAACCACACAGTGTTCTGAACATAGATGATATAAAGAATATTTGACTACAATAGGAAAATGGAGTAATGCAGGATCGGCTCATAAGCAGTAAAGGAATCTTTAGAGAATATAGGAATAGCAAGTATATAAAATAAAATTGGATATATAACATAACATCAGCTACCACCCCTAGGGCTGAGATGGAGCTCCTGAGGAAGTTTTCTTCACCAGAAATGAGACCCAGACCGTGTTGGGGAGAGCATGACTGTGCTTGCTGGGTGATGGTGGGATTGCTGTGGTCCCGGTAGAACTTGCAGGAAGTCCACTCTGAAAGATGCCAGGAAAGGCTTTTCACAGGGAGGTGCCTCATCAGATGTCCTCACCAAACGTTGTCCAATGCGGTTGCAGGCAGAAGGTGGTGCTTTGGGGTGATGCTGGCTGCTGTAATTATAGGAGCCAGGCACTAGCAATACCATGCATGTGCACCGCAGGAAATGCGTGCTGGAGGAGCCGCTGGAGCCATACAGGCAGCCAAGTGAGCACACCTACAACAGGAAACAAACCATTTCCTCCTGCGGTGTCTCCCTGGACTGAGAAAACTTAGCAACATGGCAGCTGGAAAAGGAAACAAAAATGTAAAAAACCAAGATTCATTTTTGTTAACATATTTTATTGATTTTTTACAGAGAGGAAGGGAGAGGGATAGAGTTAGAAACATCGATGAGAGAGAAACATCGATTCAGCTGCCTCCTGTACACTCCCTACTGGGTATGTGCCTGCAACCAAGGTACATGCCCTTGACCAGAATCGAACCTGGGACCCTTCAGTCCGCAGGCCGACACTCTATTCACTGAGCCAAATCGGTTAGGGCCAAGATTCATTTTTATAGAGCAGGCAAAAAGGGTGAATTTGGAGCTGAGAGTCAATAACTTATTAACTTGGCAAAGCCTTTTTCTGATTCTTCTTCCTTTTTTAGTGATACACAGGGCAGAGAGCTCCCCCTCCCCCCTTTCAAATTTTGCCTGTCATTTCTTATCACTGCACATAAGAAAAGTGACTGTTTTGCTCCTCAACTTGCAAAGCATAGGGAATATTGAAAGAACTCAATGGTTGTTATTTTTTTAATATTTTGAGCAACTGCATTTTTTTAGAACTCAGTCTTAAGCATCAAGAAGTTTAGGAGAGGTGGTTGTGATAACAGAAAGTTAAAGGATTCATTTTAAATTCAAATTTATTTTAAACTATGAAAATTATATCCTATCTGACATCAGCCATAGTACTGGTCATAGAAACATGTCTCCTGAAATATTACATTATCATGAATTATAAAAGATAGCATTAAAATAATATGAATAAGAATATTTTTTATCCTGGATGATAGAAAATTTACTCTGCAAAAAATGTTTTCAGGTTCCTCTATTATGCTTTTTCTTCCTCTTAATTCTCAATGGTTGTTTTTAAGTTAGTGAGTAAACGCTGAATAAGGTAATACCCAATGCTAAATCCCAGCATGATGCTTTCCCTTAGCTACTGGGCACATGCGCCTGAATGTCCTACAGGTCCTGAGGCCTGAACTCCTCTTCTACGACCTCTATATTAGTCCGTGGTCATTTCCTGCTCAGTGACCCTACTTAGAAACCTGGAAATCTCCCTTCCTCCCCCCTCCCCCCACTCTTCATATTAAATCAATTTATCGGGGTTTAGCGACACTATTTCTCACTTGTTGATCATGTTCCCTACTGAGATTTTCTTGGTTCAGGCTCTTGTGATAGTTCTTCTGGATTATTGTGGTGTCTTCCCTGCTGGCCTTTTTCTGCCTTCAGTTTTGCAAGCCTCTGATTTATCCTTTAGACTGTTGTCCTTGTTATCTAATAAAATGCAAATCTCATCATGTACAGTAACTGCTTTGTTTGATCCTTCTGAGGTTTTCTGTTGCTTAAAGCGGTGCTTTTCAGCTTGTGCTCTAAGGAACCCCTGGGTGAATATGGTGACCTTAAGGTGTTGTGAATAAGAAAAGAAACAGAGAGAAAGATTCTGAGACCCACTTTTTTGTTTCTTACTAAGCAGCTTAACACTATCTCTTGTATATATTTTTGTAAGATTTTCATTTGAATAATGTGTTTCACTACAGACAACTATAACAAAATTGCAAGGAAACAATTTTGAAAACAATTTAAGTAAAAGATAAGTTAACAAATCTTTGATACGGTATACATGATCATCTACAACCTGGATTTTGACTAAATTTCAGCCTGATATAATACTTCATACCCTGACTAGAAAGAAAAAATCAAACATAGCCATACTCAATTATTCAAAGTTCCCTGAATATGCCATAGGTTTATTCACTCTTCCAAAAAACAACTTGAGTGTCTGTGTGTCAGCTACCATACCAAATGCTGGGGACATAATGGTGATAAAAATTTTAAAAACCCAATACATTAAGTATTAAAACATAGAACATAAGTATATGAGAAGCACTCTGGAATTAAAAAAAAAAAAGTCTAGAAAAGAGCAATAGGGAGTTTGAGGGATATCATTTTATTAACATGATGGCCAGAGACATTCTAACAGGTGTGGAATATGAGTAAAGTGTCAAAGTTGGTGAACAAAGCTAGCAGTCTAGATATCTGAGGGAAGAGCTTTTCAAGCAGGGAACAGAAAATGTCAGTTCCCGCAGGGTAGAGTAAGTCTAGAATATCGGAGAAACACCATAAAAGCCATTGTGGCTAGAGTAGAGAGAACTAGGCAAATAATGTAGTGGGAGATGAGATCCTGGACAAGATGGGAACCAAAGTGTAAAGACCAAGTAGGTCACTGTAATTATTGTGGGGTTTTTGTTCCTCAGGGTGACACGCTGTGTAGTTTCCTAGGGCTGCATCAACAAAGCAGCACAAGTTGGGTGGATTATGTAAAACAACATATATTTATTCTGTCACAGTTACGGAGCCCGGAAGTTCAAAATCAAGGTGTCAGCAGAGCCATGCTCCCTGTGCAGGCTGTAAGGGAGGGTCCTTCTTTGCCTCCCCCTACCTTCTGGTGCTGACCGTCGATCCTTGGCGTTCCTTAGCTCGTATCTGTATCCCTCTAAGCTCTGCCTCTGTCACCAACTGGCATTTCCCCTGTGGGACTCCCCCTCCTCTTTTCATGAGGACACAGTCGTATTGGTCATGCTCCAGTATGACCTCATCTATAATAATAAAAGGGTAATATACCAAGTAGACCGGACATCTTCCAGACATCATTCTGGATGTCCTTCCTGAAAAAGCTGGGGCTGGAGGGAAGCCGGCCGGGGTCTTGGGTACCTGCCAGCAGCCCGAGGAGGGAAGCCTGGGTCCCGGGTGCCAGAGGGAAGCTGGTGCAGGCAGCCGGGGGAAGGAAGGCCTACTCTTTTTTTTTTTTTAAATGATAAAAAAAAAACCCTCAAAAAAAGACCCTCCACATTAGACAGACGCCCAACAATACCCATGGCCCTTTTTTTTTTTTTGGTCTTTTCTGTATATTTTCATTTTCAAATCAACTAAAACAATTTGATGCTTAAAATAAAAAATAGGAACTATTTCCCAGTCAGACTTTAGTCAAGAATATATATATATATATATTATTTATTTTTGATCCTGGGGATCGGCAGGGGTGGGAAGAGGTTGCTCAGTAGCACCAGGTGTTCCTGTCCACAGTAGGAGAGCCATGTGGTGAGGACACGTCACACAGCAGGACGCGAACTTGCCTGACTAACCGAGGGAGGAAGAGAAGATGGGGAAGAAAAAATGTATGGGCCGGCTGATCCGGGCATCTGGGACTTAAAATTTACACAAAACGGTGCCATGTCCTCGCTCAGTGCTGTCTGCCTGCCCGTCTGTCTCTGCTCTGGGAAGGACTGGTCAGTGTGGTTGGGAGAAGGCTGAGGTTCAGCGTCATCTTCATGATGTGTGTGTGGCTTCTTTTCCAGCTGAGAAACTTTTTTATTTTATTTTTTTATTTTTAAAAAGAATCACAGCCAAAATAAGACATTAACTGCAAAATCCAACACGGCTGCGCGTACCCTATGTATGAAAACACACGAGTCTTTGCTTCTGGCAGGGGAGCTGAGCCCGAAGGGTCCATTACATTTTCCTGGGAATCTTGGCCCGCTTGCGAGCGATGGCGTCCTCCACGGCTTTGAGCTGTCTTAGGAGCTCCTCCCGCCTGGACAGCGTGCTGGCCTTCCCTGACTTGGTGCCCCTGGAGGCGTCTGAGGCTTTCCCAGGCACACTGGTGACCTTGCTGCAGCTCTTGGACTGGGGGAACAGTGGACGCTTCCTGCCTGGCAGGGCCACGGGAGCCTTGGCATTCTGGCCTCTCTGCGGTCCTGGCCTGGGAGAACCCCATCTCCCCCCTGATGTCTGGTCCCGAGAACCTTGGTCTGGGGAGACGTGGGCCCGCTTGGCTGGAGGAGGGCTTAGCCTGTCCTTGTCTGAGGGCTCAGATGGCTTCCTGCTCCCTTTCTCAGCGGCCTCGTTCAGCAGCGTCAGCTTGATCTCCTTGTGTGCCACCCATGCGCCCTGCGGGGGCTGCCCAGAGGGTGCCCGCTGGGGAGCTGTGGGCCGCTGGGAGGATTTCCTGCCCGTGGACGATTTGGAGGATTTGGGTGGCCGTGTGGATGCATCCCTTTCCCGCTGATCCTCTTTCATGCCATCTTCTCTTTTAGATTTTCCTGCTTTCTCCTTCTTGGTCTGGGCTGGGGTGGGGGGCCGGGAGCTGGCCGGGGACACAGGGCTGGCCAGGTCTGCGTACATGTCGTCCGAGCCCACGCTGTGCACCGAGCTGCTGCTGCTGCTGGACGTGGCGCTGGACACGGAGGAGACGCTGCTCACGCCCAAGGACCTGGGTCTGGAAGGAGAGCCGCTGGAGCCGCTGCCACTGCCACTGCCCCTGCTGGTCCGCCTCCTGGCAGGGGTCCTGGCTGGGTGCTCCTTCCTCTTGGCTTCCCGGGGGCCTCCCGGCTGGGCAGGCGCAGGGGTGGCGGCAGTGGTCTTGGGGGCCTGTGGTGGGGCTGGTTTCTTCACCATCTTCTCTCCTGCCTTCCCAGGAGGCAGAGCTGGCTCCCCCTTGGCTCTGACAGCAGGTCTGTGCGGAGAAGGCGTTGGAGAGGGGGACGGGGAGGAGGAAAAGGACCGGGACCTGGACCGGCTGCCGGAGAAGGAGCTGTGTCCGGAAGACCGGCTAGAGCAGGAGCTGTAGGATGAGGACCGGGACCGAGACCTGGACGAACCAGAGCCGGAGGAGGAGGAGGACCGTGAGGACGACCTGGAGGCATGGGAGGCAGAGGCCGATGAGGCTGACGTTTTTTGACGCCTTTGTGCATGGCTAGGGGAGGCCGATGCACCAAGTTTCTTCTTGGGAGACTTGGACCGGCGCCAAGGGTCTTTCCACTCCTCTGCTCGCTTCCCCTGTGACCCAGCAGAGACGGTCTCCTTCTTGGGTGGCTCAGCGTGTGGGCTTGGTGGCTGTGGGGAGCGGGGCTTTGGCATCTCCTTTTCCTTCTCCCGCTCTTTCTCTCTGTCCTGGTCTCTGTGCCGTCTGTCCTTCTCGTCCCGTTTGGCTGGCTCTCGCTCCTCTCTCCTCCGCCGCCGCTCCTTGTCGCGCGCAAGGTCTCGCTCCCGCTGTCTGTTCTCTCGCTCTCTCTCCCTTTGCCGTTCCCGGTAATTCTGGTACAGTTCTGTTTCTGTATATTGCACCCTGAAATTCTCATACTGCCCGCCACGCCAGGACCGGTCTATTTCATAATCATAATAAGGATCTGCATAAGGCTCAGGTGTTGTGTCTCTGACATCTCTTGTAACCTGATAATTCCAATCTCGGAAAACTGCATTTTCTTTGTCAAACTCCCGTTCATCCTCACCAATGGTCACAGTAAACCTTTTCTCTTCAAAATCAGGCTCCCGTTCTTTTCGAATGGTTGCTTTCTTTAAAACCTCCTTGGCACGCCGAAGTCCTCGTTCCCAGGCACTCTCTGTGGGGGGTTTTGCAGGGGGTGGAGGCAAAATTTCATCAACTACGGGCCCACCCCAAGGGTTGGCGGGCATCGGTGGGTGAGGCCCGAGAGGTGGGGCACCTTTAGGCCGGAAAGGTTCGGCTTTGGTGATGAGGGAGTAGTTGCCCTTGTCGTTGACTCCAGGGTGTATAAACCTACAATTCATTCCCCAGGTACAGTTCCCTTTCACCTGGTCTCTGAATGGTATGGAATTTGATATTGGCGGCAGAAGAGTGGATAATGGTGTCACAACATCTTTCATGAAGAATCGGCAGGTGGGACGAGGCCTCACCTTCCTGTCACTGGGGTCCTTTACTTCGCCCTCTTCCAGATCATCATCATCCATCTCCCCATCATCAATCTCTCCGTCGTCATCCTCTTTTTTTGTCTCCTTGGCTGCCTCCAGGGGCTCCTTTTCTTCCACACTGTGGACATCGGCCTTTCCCTCCTCCTCGGGAGCTCCTTCTCCCTTTTCCTCACCCTCCTCTGCCCCAGCCTTCTCTGCTTCGTCCTCCTGCCCAGTGGGGGCTGGCTCTTCGGGGACCTCCTCATCATAGTCTAACTCAGGCTCGTCCAGTTCCCTGGTGACCGAGGAGGCCTCCTCCCTCAGATCACTTGTGTGGTCTTCCTCCCCCCCATCCCCTTCCTCTGCATGAGGGGGGCTTGTAGGGCCCCTGTTCAGCTCCTGAGGCTCAGAGTCCTGGTCCTGATCCTCTTCATCAGAGCAACTTTCCTCTTCCTCCTGGCTCAGTCCCAGGACAGCATTTTCCTCATTCTCCAAATCAGAAGCCCTCCCTGCAGCTTTGTCCAAATCCTGATCAGACCCACGTTCTCTCAGAATGTCATCGTCCGAGAGCCCTTGCTGCTGCTCCTCTTCGAACTCTGGAGAGTGAGGGTCCCTTTCAGGGCTCTCAGCCACATCCATCGCTACCCACAGTTCTCAGTGCGAGGACGGGGAGGGGGTCACGTGTTGGGGTCCAACCCCGGCAGGTTCAGAGGTTCCCAAAGGTGTGGACAGAATCGGCGAAGAAGGAATGACACGAAGACAGTGTTCAGTTGATCAGCAGCCTAGCCAGGTTCAAACCAGGATCTCCAGCCAGGTTCTGTGTAGGTTCTCCAGCCAGGTTCTGTGTTTTGGTGTCTTGTTACATCTGTATTTATACCAGTTGTTTTTAATCCTATCAATTTCTATTCCAAAGGTTAGGGCGTTTCTTATCTCCATTCCAGGGAGTAAAGATTATGTAGCTTAAGGGTGATTGTTTATAAAGTGATTAACTACCCGCCTGGGATTTAGTTAAGGGGTTTTATTCCCTCCCTAACTTCAGGGAAAAATCCCTACCTGGGGAAACAACCTTTCTCGGAGAGGTGACCTTGGTTAAAACACATAGCACCAAGAAGGTGAGCAAACATATTAAGAACAGTATGCCATATACGCCAGGTCCCTTGAAGTATATGCTATGCAGATGTTTCTTCCCTGCAGCAACTGTGTCAAGCAGCACGGATGGACCGGCTTCCTGAAGCCAGGGTTCTGCTGGGGAGGGGGCGGCTCGGGGAAGGCGTCCCTCTGCCCTTCCACTCCTTACAGACTCCGACTTGAGGCGCGATGGGAGCGGAACAAACAGGCTCCACTACCCATGGGGGCCGGCCATTGTGCCAGGAAGGCCTACTCTTGCAGGAATTTTCGTCCATCAGGCCTCTAGTATTAACATAACTAATTACCTGCAATGGCCTATTTCCAAATAAGGTCAGTTTCTGAGGTATTGAGGGTTAGGACTTCAACCTGTCTTTCTGGAGACACAACTTAATCATAGGACATGGAAAGCAGAGAGTTTTGATATACAAGTTACATTATCTGACTTACATTTTAAAAATAGGTTTTTGGCTGCAACATTTAGGAACTGATGAGACAAAATTGGAAGCAGGGAGAGCAGGAAGGAGTTGGTGATAGATGATAATAGTTTTGGAGTAAGGCAGCAATAAGGGAAGGTGGTGAAAAGTGATGGAATTAGACATATTTCAGAGGTAGAGCTGACGGGATATACTAATAGTTCCAATCTCTGTGTGAAAAGAGCAGTATCGATAATTCCAACGTTTGGGCCTCAGCAAGTAGAAATGTGGAATTATTAACTGAGGAGAAAATTAAAAATGAGAGTCTAGGAGGACAACATTTGGATTTTTAGTGAATACATTAACTTTGAGAAATGCTTGAAGCAGGCTGCCTGATAAGTCTTGGTTTATACCTATCGCCTATGTTATGTATAATGAAACACATGGCTGGTATTTCATATTTTAGAAAGATATGCATATCAGTAGTGTATTAGTTTACTGTGGCTACCATAAAAAAATTACCCAAAACGGGGTGACTTAAACCAACACATTTATTCTCTCAAAGTTCTGAGGGCAGGGTTGATTCCTTCTAGAAATTTTGAGGGATAATTTCTCCCACGCCTCTCTTCTAGCCTTGGGTGGCTGCCAGCTGTCCTTGATATTTCCTGGTTTGTAGATGCTTCGTTTCAATCTCTGCTTCCATCTTCACATTGCCTTCTTCTCTGTGTCCTTTCCCCTTCTCCTGTCTTATAAGAACACTTGCTAGATTTAGGGTCTGTCCAAACCAGAATGGTCTCATCCTGAGATACTTAATTACATATACAAAAACCTCTTTGTAGACTGGCTGGTGTGGCCCAATGGTTGAGCATCAATGTATAAACCAGAAGGTTTTGGTTTGATTCCTGGTCAGGGCACATACCTGGGTTTCTGGCTTAATTCCTGGTAGGGGGCATGCAGGAGGCAGCTGATCAATGATTCCCCCTCATCATTGATGTTTCTATTTCTCTCTCTCTCTCCCCCTTCCTCTCTGAAATTATATATATATATTTAAAACTTCTTTGTAGATAAATTTACACTCAGGTCATAACAGTGAGGTCCTAGGTTCCAAATCTGAGAAATAAATCTCTGTTTAAACCACCCAGTTCACAGTATTTTGTTATGATAGCCAAGCCGACTATCATAACACAAGTGGGCCAATGTGATTCTATTTACTACATAAAAATTAGAAGGCCAACATCTAGGTCAAACATTTATAGCTACTTTAAAAGATTTCATTCAGAGATAATGATTTCATGCATGCAACTGCCAAAGGTGTGTTTAATCTCGTTCTGAAGTTTGACTTTTTATTTTGATAGTTATTTTTATTTTGATGGAATCTCTCTTCTAAAATTTTCCTTATTTTGGATTTTGACGTTTCTTGTGCAAATATAGAATAGTGAAGTTATAGTTCCATTAATAGAAGTACTTCACAGATGTGCTAGTGATACCAGTTTTATATCAAAAGTTGTTCAATGCTTCAAGTAGAAAAAACAATTCCAATTATGGCTTAGTTTTTAATTCCAATTCATGAAATGTAAAATTGTTGAACACTCATAGTGATCAGGTGAAATATCTTACAAAATTGTGATTATTTATTACAAATTCAACTAAATGGTCCAACATTTAAAATGATGTTAGAAAAACAAACTTTGTTGCAGAAAAGTTAGGAAAAAATTTTAAAGTTAGTAAATTAAAAAAAATGGAATAAGAGATGTATACACAACGCTACATTTTACATAATAGCAATGACTGCAATTCAATTTTTTGGTGTCAAAGCTGGTGTCCAATAGAAAATATTGTCAGTATAGCAATGCTCTCTATCTTTGCTGCCCATGTATACATACTTAAGGCTTTGAATAATTACTTGGTAGTTGAACATACTTAATAAATGAATATTTAATAGAGTTAAATGATTTTGTGTTGTATTTCATTCCCTTGTGTTCAGCACCACTTCTACTTTTAAAGTTAGTGTTTATATATCTAATTTAAGATTTCAAGAAAGCATTTCAAGAAAGCTGTAGGATGGTGTGTGGGATTTCAGGATAGAGGTCTAGGCAAGTCAACAGTATAAATTTGTAAGTCAACAGATGGAAATTTAAGCCATAAATTGGAATTTTTTCTCTCACCCTGAAAGGATAAATGAATCAGAAGTCTTCATATATAAAAATCATAATCCTCAGTTAAATGTGTATTAAAAGCTATTCTTCAATCTTAAGGCCCTAACACTTACTGCTTTTGGGACTGTTGCATATTATAAAGTCTTGGTTTTCCATAGTAGAATATTGCCTAACCTAGCCTAGATTAACATGCTATGAACACAGACATAAATATCTGCTATAATAAAATGATGTGACTCACTCATTTCATATTTCTCAATACTTAATTGGAATTAGCATTAGGAATAGCAAATGCCTATATTCCGTTTGTGCTTGCATTATTTCATGCAATATTAGGAAGGCTACTAATAGTATTAACAAAATTTCTGGATTTGATTGTGAGAAAAAGTGCTACTCGGAAGAGAGGTTTATACCTACATTTCCAGCTGCTTAGTTAAAACAAAGCAACAAAATTAAACACCTCTATCTGATGGTCCTGCCAGAAACTCAAAATCAAATGCACAAAAGTCAAAAGGCTAAGCACGGTTTCCTATCCGTCCTAATTTCCCTCCAACTATTTCTTCGTCCTCTATTTTCTGTTTCTGCTTTGGAATCACTTGTTTTTAATTTACCTAGCCTTAAAATATTGGCATTACTTCACATGCTCTTTGTTTATTTGTTTTGGTCTAAATGATTCCAGATAACCCACCCCTACTGACTGACCCTTTGCAACAGCTCTCACATCCAAGTCCATTCTCCACTCTTTCTGTCCTTAGCATATTCTGACATCCATTTCATTCACGGACTGATTGAAATACGTTGCTTACTAGCCTTTCTGCTTCTGGTCTGTCCTATCTCTAAACTGTCTCACTTAATGCTACCAATTTCTAAAGATCCCTAAGCATGTCACTCCTCTGCCTAATATTTAATATCTTTCCCATAGTTCTTGAAGACTTAGATTTTAGATTCCTTAAACTTGCAATTGAATCTCATCTAACTTTTCTAATCTCATCTTTCACTTTTCTATTTTAGAGTGTGGTCCAACCAAATTGAACTACTCTTGCCCACATATAATATCCTTTTTTTTTCTTCCCTCCTCAATTCCCTTCCCAAAGAAATTGCTTCCTCGGCACAATTTTCCTTCTCTCACTTCTGCATATCAAAACATGTACTTCAAATGTCACCTGGCCTCAGCACTCATATATAAAATCGAGCTGCTGAACTATTTTTTGTACTTAGTTCTAACTTTCTATAAAAGAGATATAGGCTGTCCCCCAAAATGTATACACACTGTACCAGCTGATAACTCCCTTAATTTTGAAAATAAACTCTATATTAATAAACACTGACTTCATAATCATTCAAAGTGTGTATACATTTTTTGGGTGGACACCTGTATGTACATGGTTATATGAAAATCAAATCAATATTCTATTTTCCTTAGCCATTTTCCTTATATTTATTTTGGTGGTTACTTCATAGCTCCAAAGAATGTGTTGTAACTTTACATCAGTTTTTTTTAATAATATCTATTAAAATGGAAAATTAAAGACTCTCCTGGTTTAGTTTGCAAGATCTACATGTCAGATAAACCTTTCTTGATTGTCACTTGCTTTTTCCCCCCTAGAGAGTGGCTTTCCAGGCTATTGACCAGCTGTTGAACAATCAATTTCAGACCAACTTCAATTTGGCCGGGCCCACCTTTGCGAAGGCCTCTATTTCTTTTCCTGCCAACACTTTATTCCAAGTTTGAAGAGAGACCTTTCCCTAGACTCCTTGCACTAATCGTTCATAAAAGCGAGACTTTTAACAAGATCAAACGTAACAAATTGCCTTTCCAGCACAGAGGATGGTTACTCGCAGATCGAGTCCCACCTTTCAAAATGTCCAGGCATCGCCCCTCCCGGCTCAGCTCTCAGTCTGCCTCCTATGGCTAAAGTCAGCTTATCTTTCCCCGGTGGGA